GTGAAGATTATATTTTTGAAAGCTAGAGGAAAAGATACCATGGTAATTTTGATATGAACCGACTAAAGTCAGGCTGAGATATATTGCTCTGTGGATAAGTAAGGACATCGTTGAAAGAAGACACACAGAAAGTATCTGTAAAACTCAGACATTACCTGAATATGAGGACCTAGAGAAAGGAAGGTCTCAGCTAAAAACAATGCCCAAATAAATGTGTATAGATGGCAGTGGAGGGTGAGGGACAAAGGGGGTATTTATAGTGTAGTATAGCAAACTGATAACAGAATAGAGTACAACTGTGCACTGGTAGTTAAACTGTGACCTGTTAAACAGTGAAACTGCCTGGAGACAAGATGAAGGAAAAAAAAAAAGTGGTCAAAAGAAAAAGCCATCCTTTATGAAGCTGAAGGAGGATACAGTGGTGAAGAAATTAAGGAGGTAGAAGAAAACACAAGAGGACCATCAGGGAAAAAAAAAAAAAAGGCAAAAGGACAGCCTTGTGTCTCAAAAATGCTTTGGAGAAGATGGGAACTACTCTGAGGACTGACTGAAAGGCTGTGTTTAGAAAATGATGCCTAAGGTATAGAAACTAGATTGGAGAGGGTTTAGGACAGATGTATAGGATTCCAAGTAATGAATTTAAACATTAAGTTTACTGACCTTGGGGATGAAAGGCAAGAGGGAAATGGAGCGGATGGAGATGCTGAAGAGATGAATGACGTCAGGCGTGGGATGGGAAGAAGTAAAGCAGGCGGATGGAAGGAAGGGTCTGTTCTGCTTGCTTGTGTCCTTTGGAAATTTATATTATGGCTTCTAAATGAGGTCAGTATAAAGAAAACTGCTTGCCACTGCCATTGCCTGGCTATGATTTGTGGTGTGACTGTGAAGTATCACACACAAACATGCTTTCGTTCTTTTCTTCGTTTAGATCTTCTCTCCCTGTGGGCTAGTTTGTTTGTCTTCTCCTCGGAGGTTTGCCACTGACATGACAAAGAGTGCTCTACAGAGGAGGAAGCTTTAGAAATACAGAAATTAGAGATGGAAAATTCCTTTATAAAAGATCAACTAGCCCACTGTGCTTGGTAGGCCAAGGGATAAACACTAGTGTTGTGCTTATTTAACATACCACAAGAAGAAGTCACCCAAAGCAACTGCTCCACCAAGCAGTGGATTTTACAGCCAAGCCATTGTAACAGTACTCATCCTAATCTTTTTGCCTCATTTCATCCTAGTTTCTTCTTCCTTGTAATAATAATGCTATCACTTCTGAAAACCTGAATAGTTGTTCTCCCACGGTGCCTATTTTTTGTAGCTTTGTGTCCCACACGCCATGCACAGCTGTATTTAGCTCTTTCAACTCATACAGCAGCGTCTCTTAATCAATCCTCATCACTTCTACTTTTTTAAAAATTAATTCTTTTCTGTCTGCTGATGTCTTTTTGATGAGAAGATGTTCAGGACTGAATGCAGTATTCCAGGGGGTTTATACTACAATACCACTAACAGAGGCCTTTGTTACAATTTCTGTTTATGAACTCTACTACCCCATTGTTTTCTTGTCTCTTCCCCCCCTCCTGTCATCTCAAATTACAGGCATGTCTAATTTACTGTCTTCTCTCCTGCTATTTTAGGTCTCTTTCAGTGTTAAAGCTTCTGAGAATCCTTCTTCACAATGAATAGCTGTGATTTGAATTATTTTTCACCAGATGTAATATAGCTGCATTTTTCCTTGTGGAATTACATTTTGTTTCCTGAATATCTTTTGTGCCAGAGCTTTGACTTGTAAAATTAATAGAATAATGTATCCTCAACCCTACAGCTTGGAGGTGTTTCCTTCCCTCCTCCTCCCCTCCCCAAGCTTGAAACCATAAAAATGAATATTAAAAGACAACTAGAGAAAAAAAATAATTTTGTTCTCTTTTCAGAAGTTGTTGAGGCTTCATAACATCACTGACTGATACATGGAATTTTCTCGCTACAGCCCCAAGAGAAAGGTGAATCACACTGTTAAATAATTTGCACAGTGTCACTGAGGACTGCCAGAACTGTTGTCCTCACTGTCTGAGCCACGATGGGAGGTTGCTGCTCCCCAGCTTATCCCCAGCCATCTGCCCCACACTCCTTGCTAGAACCTGCAAGGGAACTTCAGGGGTAGCTACTGCCTAATCCTTTGCTATCAGAATCATCCACTTTAGCTGATGTCAATTTTTGCTCACTTGCTCGTGTGCCTGTGCTCGCTCTTTCTCATCAGACATCAGGAGCCACCCTTTCAGTTGGAAAGGGAAAGATCTTTGGTGGATAAGAAAAAAACAAAGGATGGTGACCTCTTAACTTGGTTCAGCTGCAACCCTCAGCTCTTTGAAAATTAGTGACAGAATCAGGAATGCTTTTCAGAAGTTACAACTCTCCTAATTGCCCTCCTCATAGACCACACTGTGGGTCTTTCCCCAGAACTTCTTTCTGGGAATCAGATGATGGTGAAGATTTTTTTGGATCACACAGCTAAAGTGAAGGCGATATGTTTTGGATTCATCCATCATCATGAGCATTATAATGAAAACCAATAAAAGGTCACATCTATTAGTCACAGCTCTTGTGGTTTGGCTCTTATTGAACACCAGGCTTTGTGAGAGCAGGACGTGTGTGTATAGCGGGTGCTGCAGAGAGGATGTGTGGTGTTGAGGCAGTGTCAAAACCAAAATTAAGGCTGTAGCTATTTTTCACATATCTGTTAATTCTATAAATATCTGCAGCAACATCACTGATGTTGTCAACCTGCCTGCTTTTCAGTTCTCTGAGATGAAGCTGTAGATTTGAACAAGGCCACCAAGGAGTCTAATCCTCTCACACAAAGCTCACAGCAGTCCATTTGCACCATGTATTGGCTTCAGTGATGAGAGCAGATGTCTGTAAATTACCAAATGTCTGTGTAAGACAAGAAGCTTTCTTTAAAACCATATTCTCCTCTTTTTGCTCTAACCAAAACTAAAAGGAAAAAGGGGCTATTAAAGGTTATTTTTCTCATCTGTCAATCTAAACAGAACTCTTTTCAGATCCCTTTTGCTGCAACCCTATTCCACTTGGGTAAGCTTTAGGGCAGGATTTACCTTGCCTAACTTTGAAAGCTAGGTGTGTTTTGTATTGTCCCAGATAGCTAAAGTTAGGTAAAATGAATCCCACCTAAGTCTTTTATCTCTCTCTGCTGGGCTAATGTTTCAAATTGTTTTTCTTGTCTTCCCTTGCTGTATATTAAAGTCTTCCTAGTACCTGTGCTTCTGCAGAGGATAACTGGGGGCCCTCCCTCCCAATGACAAGGACTCTTTCCTTTACACAGCCTCACTTCTCCCTAATGAGGAAATCAAAGAGGACCTCCCCCTTCCTCCCCATGCAGTGGCAGGAATCTTTTCAGCTCTTTCCTCTCTCTTCTCCCACAAGCTGGAATCCAGCCATACATCAGGATGGTCCCACTAGACCTGTGATGTGGCAAAGATATCCCTCAGTGACAATCTTGAAGCTAGAACCACATGGGTATGGTAAACAGCTTCCCCCTGTAAACCTGGAGTTCCACAACTCTACATATGTGGGTATTTGTCCCACCCCTGAAAGGTATAATCAAGTTTTGATTCATAACCATGTGAGTTAAAATTTGGGAAAAGATGACAGTTTGTGTGCTGGGTTTTTTTTAGCAAACCTGGTAATTTCTCTCAGATGGAGCAAGGCACCTGACCAGCTACGCCAGGTCATCATTCTCTTCACCTGTAAATTTCTTAGATCTTGGCTGGCCCACGGAGAACAGTTCAGCTACAATAAATCACATCATTGCTGCCGCAGCCAATCTACCCACGGTGGCGGTCACTTCACCGCTGTATCACAAGCCACAGATTGAGACCACCGTGCAATGGAACTGAAACCAAGAAAATAGTAACTGTTGGCTTGAAAAGCTGGTGCAGAACGAATGACAGTCTGCACTGCTGTTAGCAGATTAACAGCTGCGCTAAAATTTTCTGTGCAGGAGAGGTATCGACTCTCATCATATGCCACATCAGTCTGGGACAGGAAACATGTTTTTGGATGTATTCAGAGAGTTTGCAGTAAAGTCATGTCTGCAAGCCCCAGGTACCGATTTCACGTTCGTAACAGCAAATCCTATGTGTATAACTAGTAGTAGCAATGGGCAGAAGTAAGCTGCGAGTGAGCCTTTGTTTTACACATCTAGAGCTAGAAAAGGAGGAAGAGCAGCATGAGAATACCTCTGCTACAAACACATACAGCAAGCATTCTCACCTCAGCTTGCTATGGGTAACTACACAGAATCACACAGAGTCATCCACGTAGGAAAAGACGTTGAAGATCATCCAGTCTGTTAACCCAGAACTGACAGTTCCCAACTACACCAGATCCCTCAGCACTATGTCAGCCCAACTCTTAAACCTCTCCAGGGATGGGAACTCCACTACTGAGCGATTTAAAAGTGTTAAAGGATCCCCACACGGACTGATGTATTAATGGTCTGATTCCAGATTAGCAACAGCTTTTCTCACTTTAAGGCCAGGTGCAACTCAGTCGTAAAGTTACGGTTTCAATTCTCTTACCAGGCAATGCCCCGGGTTACTAAGCATCAGCAGGACTGTGTGTAAGCTAACTCACAAAAGCAGCGAGAACGATCCCATCTTACAAATTTGGTCCGTCTCCTCTAAAGGCTTAAAAACCTCCGTGCTTCAAATGAACGAGTGGCTCTCCCACAGCCGGCGTCACCATTCCAGTTACACATCCCAGGCGGTTGCTCCCTAATTGCGGCCTTTTAATCTCCTCAGGGACCCCGAATTACACGGGATTCCCCCCGCCCCCCGCCAGCTGAGCGAACTGCTCGGGGGCGATCGGACCAACCCCAGCCCCGTCCCCTTCCCCGCGCCTCGCTGCGGGCGAAGCAAGTCCCGCGCCCGGGCCGGG